CCGATCTCTTCTTTAAAACTTCCAGTGTTGGAGCATTCACAACTTCTTAAGAAGTTCCATTTCCCCAGAGCCCTTGTGGGTTATTTCTTCTTCCCCTGAGTGGGTTTCTGCATCCGTCTCGGGTCAAGGCCTTTTGCTGAAGCCTTTAAAGAGTTCCCAGGTGTCTTTCCCCCCTCTGTTGTCCCAAGGGGATCACTCAGGACGTGTGCCCCAATTCTGACATTTCCATCCCCAAACGCATCAATTCTTAGGAAAGTTTTTTTTCTGTCGAGATCTTTTCTCTTGGCGCTTGTGTTCCTTTTTTTAAAAAAGCACAGACAAATTCATATTTTTAAAGAAAAGACAGAACTTGGCAGGTAGATAAATCATTTTTGTCACTGTTGTGCTAGCATAAAAATTGTAAAATTAACCATGATTGTTCCTATCAAATTAAATGACTGGACCAATCTATAATTTAAAAATTACTTCACTGGCTGAAAAGACTATAATTACCCTACAGGGAGCAAGTTAAATCGTATTTTTAAGCACGCCTCGCCTTAACTGCCACACGAGTTAGAAAAATATCAAGTCCCTTTTCTAACAATGCTTGACCTTGAGGTTTGAAAAAAAAATTAGCTAAGACTTTTAACTAAAGGCTGGGTTTGGGGAGTGTTTGAACGGAGAGGATTTAAGCAGCCTGCAGCACAGGGTCATCATGGGAAAGAGAGGGGGGAATTCAGACCTAGAGTACTCCTAGTTATTGGATGAGACACCACCAGGAAACCTCGATGCGCTGAATAAACTGGGAATTTTTTTTAAAAAAAAGCAGCTAACAAGCCAGGTTTCTACTATGGTCAAAAAACTTTCAAGGGATATCTAGACATTAATCTTAACGGTAGATTTATTTAATCATTCACTGCCCACTACCGCATTTGTCCCACTTTCCAAATTGATAGAACTTTCTAGCACCTTGCAAGGGCAGAGAAAATAATAAGCCATACTACAATAAAAAAAATATATGCCACAGCTGCTTCTGGTTATGTTCAACACCAGCTGCATTTTTGATACATAGAAAATATAGAGGAAACTAAGGATAGAATAAGAATTAGAAGAGGAGGAGGAGGAGGANTCAAAAGTATAAAAATACTCCCATGGTTATTGCTGATGTTCTAGTAACCATAGATGCAGAGTGCCAAGTTTCTAGAAATTCCCCACCATTTTTGGACTTGGCTTGGTGTAGGAAAGTCACATGTTCCCAATTGAAACTATGGTTAAATCAGTCTATATGTTGTGAAATTAAAGGATTTCAATATGTTAATCTCTAATCTAAACACTGCTGGCTTCTAATATTATGATGTACTTTTAATAATAATGAAGCACTTGTCTTCTCTGCATCTATGGTTACTAGAACATCAGCAATAACCATGGGAGTATTTTTATACTTTTGATAAGCCAGATATCCATTCAGAAAAGTAACTGGAAAACCTAATCTTGGTTGGCTCCTGAATCCAGATAATACAACCTTTTGGAATCTTATCTTATAGACGCTGTAAGTGCTTCTCCCTCGGAGACAATGAATAACAATTCCCTGCATTATAAGCTTGGTCTTTGTGTAATTCCAATTGAATCTGGACATGTAATATACCCACATATAGGAAGGGATTCAATCTTTTTTTACCTGTTTGAAGCATGCTTCTACAAGATTTGGAGGAAACATGTTCCTGTAAAGAAGAAAAAAATAGTATTTATCTATTGGCCATAATTTTTTATCCTATCAGGATCACGCTAAGGACCAACAATCAATTCCCCCCCCCCAATATTCCTTTAAATACAAAGTACAATCCAAATCCACATTTTATGGGTTGGATAATTTGGTCGCTGATAGCAGAAAGCTGGTCAGTAGAAGTGTTTTCTGGCCATGTACAGGCAGGCCCAGAAAACAATGGAAGAGCTTTGAGTCACTTGTCAGGTATCCTCATGGTCTTAGCTGCTTCATTGCTTCAAAATCAGATTTGCTTCTTTGTAAGCAAAGTGGCTCCTCATATGATTTGCATACCCTGAATCAAATTATGCTATCCTCCTGTAATTGAAATTTCTCCCACCAGTTAAATCTCTCACCAACACACGTATTCAATGAAGTGTTTCCTTCATTCAGAATATAATAAACAGTATAATAAATAAGAACACCAATGTTCTGATTTTTAAGATAGCGTCCCTCTGAATGTTGACTTGTATGCCCAATGTCAACCAGCCCCACTGAAATTGGAATGACACCTAAGANCCTGAGGCCAACTTCCAGTTTCCGAGAGTTTTCTGCAAGTATTCTCCAAGAGAACCTGCTACAGATTTAGTTTTATATGCAGTTTGGTTGCAATATTGTAAGGAAATCCTTTGCTTGTTTGTTTTTTAAAAAAAGCTGTAACTCAGAGGAATATGCAGGAGCTAAATAATTATCCTAGTTGGAGCAGTTGTTGGAGAAGAAAGCTCTTTCTGCGATGTTGGGAAAATCGTGTTTGCCTGAGAGATTCAGAGAATGGTGGCTACCTCTAGAACGGTGGCCTCTGTAGGAAGGCTGGGGGGGTCATATAGGCTGGGCATTTTTTCAGAAAGATATTTGGAAGAAGTAAGAGGAACAAAACATGACAGGGCAGGTACGAGGAGGCCCAAGCTTGTGTGAGACCAGGCAGGGTGGGAAGCAGGGTTCACCAACAAAAGCGGGCACGACAAAAGCACGCACGACAAAAGCACGCCGACAAAACCGCGGCGAGAAAACAGCGAGGTCGAAATCGTGCCCACAACAGCGCTCTGACAACAGCGCTCCGACAACAGCGTGCCATCAACAAACAATGCAAAAACAAGGTAATAACTCAACCCCAACCCCAACTCTAACCCTTACCTTAACCCTAATTGCGCTGTTGTGGGCGCGCTGTTGTGGGCGTGATTTCGACCTCGCAGTTTTCTCACCGCGGTTTTGTTGGCACGCTTTTGTCGTGCGCGCATTTGTCGGGTCACGGGGAAGCAGGCCCTAGGCTATAAGATCCAACAGGTCAAAAAGCAGGCCCAAGTCTGTGCAATCTGGCATGGTGGAAACTGTACAGAGGGAGGTCCTAGGAGGCCCAGCAGAAGACTTGTATTAAAATTTATGATAACTTATTTATAGTCGTATAGTTTTGTAGTGATTTTTAATGGACTGTCTGTAAGCTGCCTAGAGCTGCCTCTGGTGAGGTGGGAGGCCTAGAGGTCAAGTAAGTAAGTGAGTGAGTAAGCAAGCAAATAAATAATAAATAAGCAAGCAAGCTAGGCATGTGCTGCAGTGTACGCCTGGAATTTAAAATAGAGTATTGCCCTGCGCCAGGCTTCTCGTACCCCGAGGCACCCTATTCTCTGCTTAATGACCTGCACTGTCATTTAATGACTGCAACTGGGAGAGTCAGGACTGCAGTCATTGAACAAGGCAACCTTGCTTATCAACTACAACCACTTACCACAACAAAGGACTATCTGCAATCATTCACCTTACAATTGTAATCAATTAATGAATAAATATTTTATCTCAGTTTTTAACTAATGTTGTTGGAAACCGAATCTTTCAGCTTCTTTATGCAAGCAAATATCCTCCCACAGAACTTTTATCCTTTCATTAAAAGAGCTTATTTTTGACCGAATAATCACTATCATGAATTGACACGTTATAACATCACATTCTAGATTCTTTGACGGGCTTAGAGAATATCCTTAGATACTGGTTTTTTTTTTAAACAATACACATATACACCCAAAGAGAAATGTTAAAACTTGAATGACAGTAGTAAAACACAAAAAGAAATTAGAAAATAATTTACACCAGTACCTGTTACTAAGCTGGATACAATGAGAGGCAAAACCAACATTTGCAGCATTCTCATTAACAGTTCTCCAGGGAAGGAAAAATATTTCACTTCTCGGTAGCTGAAGTGATAGGATCGGAGAGAAAAGCCAAGGATGATACCTAAGAAAAAAAGAAACCATGGTGCTTTATTCTTCTGCAAGCATTATTTAAACACATAGATTTGGTACAGCTGTAACTGACAAGGACATTCATAGATACACTGAGGGCAGAACTACACATTCTCACCAATTTGATGTTGGCTGCTACTAAGCTTGTAGACTATGGGGTTTGTGAGGCAACAAAATATTCTCTGCTGAATTATCTCGCTCTCATGACTGCCAGAAAAGAAGGAAATAATCTAAAATTGATTTTCCTGAGGTTATGAGTGTGTTTGGACTTTGCACACTTAGGGGTTGCCCTGAAGAGAAATCCTCACATAAACTTATTTTATTCTGAAAAAAAAAGATGTACAATCAAGCTATTGATCATTGATGATCATTGTACGCATATTCTTTTCAGTAGTCTACTTTTCAATCAGAAAGTAGAATAACTCATATACCCGTGATGGCGAACCTATGGCACGCATGGCAGAGGTGGTACACAGAACCCTCTCTCTGGACATGCCTGTTGTCACCAACTGCTCTTCTGGTTTAAGGTGCGTGCCTGCTAGCTGGTCTTCATGGGTCCCAGAGCACCAGAAAACAGCCTGAAAACAGCCCCCAAAACAGCCAAAAAACACCATTTTCAGGCCATTTTTCGGACTGGTTTTGGGACCTTTTTCAGGCAGTTTTTGGCCCCCAAAAGGCTGAAATTTGGCCTGAAAATGGCCCCCAAAACAGCCTGAAAACACCCAAAAGATGCTCCAAAAACAGACATCCATGTGCCAGCTAGCTGCTGTTTGGGTCTCCAGCACTTCACCGCGGGTACACACATAAACACACACGTACTGGTCTGGGCACTCGGTGCCAAAAAGGTTCGCCATTACAGCCATATACCGTACTAAAGACACAGTCCCCTATGCTATTCAGAAGCCTCACAGAGGGCAGTGAAGTTTATTCCCATCTCATTTGGAGAGAATTGCAAATTCTGGATGTTACTCAATTCTGTTTGTGTTTTAGGAAGAAAAACAGTTCTCTCCATCCTTTCTTTTGATTGGAAGTGAGGGAAAGGCCTTTGTAGGCCATTCATGGTTGTCCCTGCTTCCTTTCCATTGACCGCAGGAACAGTTGGTATGCAGCTGTACAGTTCTGAATGAATGTACGACCATTTTATTTTATACTCTTCAGCAGTTGAGCCAGTCTTAAGCAACAAGGGGACTTAAAAGAGCACATGTGAACGCAAGTTTATTCTGAAACTACAAGTACCCTCCTTTTTGCTATGAGTACAAGGAGTAACCCAGACAAAAATAAAGACCAGTTGGTTAAAGTGGGTGAGGTATCAGGCTACAAACTGGGAGACCACAAGATCTCCTTAGGCATGAAACCAGCTGGATGACTTTGGGCCCTTTCCCAGCCCAAGGAAAGCAATGGCAATGACAAACCACTTTTGAAAAACTTTGCTAATAACACTTCAAGGACGACTCTATGCAATTCACAAGAGTTTTTTTTTTAAAAAAACTTACTCCAAGACATGAAACCACAAGATGAGCAGCATATAAATTTTATAAATGAATAAAGACTCACAGAGACACACAAAAATTTCCATGCAAAGTTTTGGAACTTTACAAATTCCTCTCTGAGTTCTTGCAATTAAAATACCAATTCACTGATGAATTGGTTATTGTCTTTCATTTCATTAAAGGCACCATAGATACTATGCTTTGACAACAGAGCAATGACTGCAGGTAAAAAAATAAAATAACAAGCAAGGCGGGTTGGAAATCAAAGGGGCTCCGTTATAGATTCTATGTAGAGGTAGAATACCCCTCCTCTACAAAGGTTTAAGTTTCCTAACTATTTGTGAGCCTATCTGTGGAACAAAGCCCACTAAGAAATCTCCAAAAGTTGTTCTGCAGGTTTTCTCCTGACTTTTTACAGGGGGTAGGGGGAAGAGAGGAAGCAAGCATTCCAAAAGAAGATGGGGGAGCACATATTTAAAAAAAGACAAAGAAATTCTGATGCCCTGATTTTTTTCAGAATGATGCATTAAAAGAAACTGCCCAGGTATGCAGTCTAAACAAAGACAAAAATGAAAAAGCTTGCAAGATGTAGCTCTACATAATCACCAAACCAAATGCAGATTTTTGATTCTATTTTGTACATCTTCATGTTAAAAGGGAAATATAAACGCGGAATTCTGAAATGCAACTCTGCTTCGTTGCTAAATTCAATTAATAATTTAAATCTTTTCATTAGGAGAACATGTAGCAATATATGGAGCATACTGTTATTGCATGATAAACCTATAGATGTCAACACCAATCTTAAGTAAGATAGGTTGCACTATGGCAGTATTATTTGAATTTAGCAATTTTAAGATAATATAAACTTCAACTCAACTGGAAGCTGGTTGAGGAATTTTGGGAAATGAGATTCACACATCCTAAAGTTGCCAAGTTTGGAAAAAACACCAATCTATGGCATTTAAATTTGGAACAAACTAATATTGATATCCAAAGCACAAATGTCAAAAATTGCTTTCTTACTATTATTTGCAAGCCAAAATAAAGGAAAAAGGAATAAAATTACAATATTTCCATGAAAACAAATTTCATCAATTGTATGCTTAAATAATTGCTTCTTGCCCAAAGCACTCAACCAATATTGATCTGTTCATTATTATTGTGTATTCCCACAGTGTTAAAACCTTGGAATTTACCTATTATGGTTTGGCATTATATGAAACTATTATTTCTTGCTTAACAAATTCGGTTATTTAAAAAAAAAATCCTGCCTTAGCATTATAAAGTAGTGCTTCCCAACTGGATAAATTATCCATATTTGGGTAAAAGTGATTTTTTTTCTTTTGGTAATGAAACATTAACTATTACCCAATCACAATAGGGACATTGAAATTGACTTAAAGTGTTTTGCTCACATTGGGTAAATAGGACTTTTTTGATAGCAATTTTGAATATGAAAGGAAAAAAAATGGGACGTTTTGGTCAAAGTAATGTCCTTGTCTCTCAGAGAAAACCTGGAAGGTAAATCAAATCAAGAAACTGATCAAGAACTTTGTTTCTCTTAAACTAGACAAAAGGAGATATCTGACTCTATATCAGACCCAATTATATACATCCAATTACAACAGTTAATTGATGTTATAACGGCACTGGAAAAAAATGATTTATGACCATATTTCATACTTATGACCATTGCAGCATCCTCATGGTCACGTGATTCATATTCAAATGCTTGACAACTGACTCACATTTATGACGGTTGCAGTGCCCCAAGGTCATGTGATCTCCTTTTGCAACCTTCTGACGAGCAAACTCAATGGGGAAATCACATTCACTTAACAACCGTGTTACAAATTTCACAACTGCGGTGATTCAGTTAACAAACCTGGCAAGAAAAGTCGTAAAATGGGGCAAACCTCGCTTAACAGATTTTTCACTTAGCCAACATAAATTTTTGGGCTAATTGCAGTCGTAAATCGAGGACTACCTACAGTCCTTCATGATATTAAAAATGTCTGAAATGTGCTTATATTTGCTGAGCTTTCCCCATCTACTTCATTAGCATTTTATCAGATATATCCGGGGGGGGGGGCGGGCGGGCGGAGGAATGCTAATGATTCTTTTGCTTATACAGCTGAAATCACTCCAGAGGCAAAAGGTGTGGGATTCCTGATGTGGGCTTCCCCCCTCCTGCCGCTATGAACTGGCTCCACTACCATCTACATAATGGAGGAGAAAGCTTGATATGGCATCTTTGATAAGAGTATAAAGCTGTATCTGCTCAAAACCTCTTTGTGTGATTTAGTTTAGTTTATTGTCATTGCACATGATACAATGAAATTAAATCTAGTCTTCAGTGTACATTATAACTATAAAAATAGAAACACAAACATACATCCTTTACATTATATATAATTGAAACTGAAAGCCTGATATTGCACTATACCAGTGATGGCGAACCTTTTTTTGGCTCATGTGCCAAATTTTTTAGAAATGACTATGTCAACCAGGCTTGAAATTAAATATTGAAAAAAATGAAGAATAACCTTCAATTGCTTCTTATGTTATTCTTGGATGTTTCTGTTCTGTTTTCTCTTTTAGTCTTGTATTCATTGACTTCTTATACTATTTGTCAAGGAGCCTGCGGCAGACTGGGAAAATCTATTTCTAGATAAGGTCTTCCAATATGTATGTACAAAGAAACAAAGATAAAGAATTTGACATGAAACAACTGAAAATTTGGAATTTAAGTTGAGATTTAAGTTGAAGAAGCTGAAGACAGGTAAAAATTTTAATGGCAACACAATAATAAGGCAATTATAACTGATAATGTCACAAATTGATATTTTCTAGGTTGCTAGAAACTAAAGTAACTTCTTTTTGGGAAATCAGTGTGATATGATGTCTATACATGTTTATGTTTAAATATAAGTGTGTTTCTATCAATATGGCACCTCTACATTTTCCTTGAGCATTTCCCTCTGACCAAAAGCTAAAGCCACAAAATCAAAGAACAGTCCTCAAACTTAACATTATTTTCAGTTACATCAAATCTTAATTATATCTAAAGACTATGAGACAATACTGTTTGTTGGTCTTCTAACTTGGTTAAATGAGAAACTCTTGTAAATAAATTAACTGCTATGTCAATTCGCACATTCTAGAGATCAATTATTCACATATTGATCCACATTTCTACAAATGTGTATGGTTGACTTTACATCCATTCTGTATCTCAGAAATTGACAGTCTATTGTCTTACCCGGCAACCTTTTTTCTATTCAACAACTATTCACGTTTGCAAGACAAAATCAAAGAATTAATGGATGATTTAAAAGAAGTATGAGGTCTATTACTTACAATTCCCTTTGTAATCAGTGGTATTTGCAGATACCTGATCTTGTCTAGCTGATAAACCAACATTACGTTATCTGCAAAGTAAGACATAAAATTGCATTGGTTGCACTTTTGGATGACCTCTGCTAGGAGTAGGATGAGA